AGCAGTCGAGGCTGTGGTGGCCATGAGTGTGCCACTGCACTCCAACCTGGGTGACAAACTGCGACTCTGACTCAAAAAAAAAAAAAGGCTGATAGAGAACAAAACTAAACTGTTTTCTCATTCTATTTTCTCAGTATAAAGTGTGTGCATGTGTGCTTGTGTATGTCATATTTACAGAAGCCTTGAGTCATGCTCTTGGACCATCTGGGGAGGCAATTGCTTAATGCTTCTAGTGTTATCTTATTTGACTCAATAGATACTTGTAGAATCACTAGACAAATGCTGACCTTTAGGTTAATTCCACAAATGTTTATTGCATACGATGTATTTTGTGTCTAGCACTAGGGACAAGTGCTGAAGATTTTTAGATGTAATTCAGTCCTTACATTTATGGTCTTTTCAGGGAGGGGAGATAGGGTTGTTAAATAAGATAACTGTAAAAGAAATAGCTGTTTCCTGAACCGAAGTAGCAATGAACAGGGTGGGCCTGGAACACCTTGTTGTATCAGTAAGCAAGGAAACAAAGAAACTGGGGTCTTGGAAAAATGACTTAAGAGCCAACAGGAAGATGTTCTCACAGGCTAAGGTAGAACAATTTGAGTATCACTAAGAATAACTGCAACAAATTGAAACATAATTAAGTAAAAATCCATGAGTTCACAATGACACTCAAGAAACCTAATTTCCTCATCTTTAATATGAAACCAACTCATTCTAAAAAACTATTGAATAAAGGGAAACAACTGAGCATTTAACCAGTCTTCCCTTACGTATAGGTACACCTCAGGGTAACATGGTACTTGTTAACTGGGAAAGTTTCTCTCACTATAGAGGTATTCCAATTAAAAATGAAGAAAAGATAAATTAGAGATCTAGGTAATGATCATCAGTGGCTATTAACATGACAAAAGAGCCAAACTTATGTGCCCTCCGATGGAAATACACACCACCTATTGCCAAAAAAAAATAACAAGACGGAACTTGAATCAGATTAAGTCAGATGGAGGAGCACATAAATGACACCGCAGGGATGCAATTACTGAAATCTAGAATGCAGGAATTGCTACAGGACCAATGGTCAGTTTCTAAAACAAATTACAAAGGGGAAAAAAAACGAGTTAGAGAAGCTTATAGGTTACAGAATGAGATTTGGAGGACATGTCAAGCAACGGAGGTGTGACCCTTACTTGGTTCCTGACTCAGATCAACTTAAGTTATGGGCCGGGCACAGTGCTCATGCCTGGAATCTCAGCACCTTGGGAGGTGGAGGTGAGAGGACTGCCTGAGCTCGGGTTTGAGATCAACTTGGGCAATTTAGCGACCTCATCTCTACAATAAACCAAAAAATAAGCCAGGTGTGATGGTGGGTACCTGTAGTCCCTGCTTCTTGGAAGGCTGAAGCGGAGGGATTACATGAACCCAGCAGGTCAAGGCTACAGTAAGCCCTGGAGTGCCACAGTACTTCAGCCTGGGCACAGTGAGACTTCTCAAAAAAAGTTATGAAACTTGGAAAAAGCAAACTTGGTGTTTGCTATAAAGGAGGTGTTGATTTTTTAGGTGTGACTATTTTTTTCTTAAGAATAATCCTGGGCTGGGCTCCGTGGCTCAGCCTATAATCCTAGCACTTTGAGCACTTTGGGAGGCTGAGGTGAGTGGATTGCCTGAACCCGTGGGCTCAAGACCAGCCCCAGCAACTTGGCAAGACCTCATCTCTACGATAAATAAAATATCAGCCGTGCATGGTAGTGCACGCCTGTAGTTCCGGCTACTTGGAAGGCTGAGGCGTAAGGGTTGCTGGAGCCCAGGTCGACGCTGGGGTGGCCATGAGTGTGCCATGGCACTCCAGCCTGGGTAACGGAGACTCCAACTCAAAAATAAATCCTTTTAGAAGTATATGCTGTGCTTGAGTAAAATTATGAATTCTAGAATTTGTTTCAAAATAGTCCTAGACAAGGTGGATAAAAATACAAGAGATGAAATTGCTGAGTGGATAATAAGGATGCTGAAAAATAAGCATGTAAGAATTTGACTGAAACGACCCTTGTTAGCTGAGTGGGGAAGATATTACAGAAGGCCAAGGATGCTTAAGAAGTGTGTAGAAAGAAGATGCCAAATGGCAAGGGGAAGGCAGGGACCCGGAGGATATGACTTGAATTCAAGCCAGTTATTCTAACAAGGTAAATCGATCTCATATCTAGGAAAACCATGATTAGCTCTTCTTAGGTTACAGAGCCTGAAAAACCAGTGAAAGCAATGGACCATTTCCCTAGAAAAAAAACAGTCCCTTTCAAACTGCCCAAAGTCGGGTGGGCGTGGTGGCTCATGCTAATCCCAGCACTTTGGAAGGCTGAAGTGAGAGGACTGTCTTGGGTCCACAGGTTCGAGACCAACCTAGGCAACTTGGTTGAGCCATTATTTCTACAATAAATCAAAAAATTAGCCAGGCGTGGTGGCGTGCTCCTATAGTTCCAGCTACTTGGGAGGCTGAGGCAGAAGGATCACCTAAGCTCAGCAGGTTGAGGCTGCAGTAGCCATCAGCATGCCACTGCACTTCAGCCTGTGCAACAGAGTGAGACTCTGACTCAAAGATAAATAAATTGTCCAAAGTCTATCCATATGGACTTCCTACACCACAGCCCTATCCTTTGACCACAATCTCCACCTTCTCGGTTAGGGGCTCCCAGAACCTCAATTTAAGAGCCTGTGATTTAAATTGAACATTTTATTTTCCTATTTTCTGATCACAGGGCTGATGCTTATAATTACTAAAAGCTGGCTTGGTGTTCAGCTGTGGCTTTCTCTTTAGTGTCGAGATGGATTTGTTTTCTGACCTGCTGTAGCAAAAATGGATTTGATTATGACTCACTGTATTAGGTTTAACCATAAGAAATTGCTGATATTCTTATTTCCTACCTATTCGGCCATCTGTTTCAATGGTTCTACTTGTTAACATACCTCCTGCATGCTGTTCAGAAAGTGATGTAGGCCGCCCCATAGCTAGCTTTTCTGTTCCTAGGGCTTTCCCTCATTTTGTATTGTCATACTAAGAGTCTGGGAAAGGGTGGACAAAAGCCCTTACCAGTTAGCCTTTTGACTGGTGAACAGAATGGAGTTGCAGTGGCATCTGATATGAAGGGACCCTATCTCTTTTAAAAAAAAAAGAACATGGCCATGCATGGTAGCTCATGCCTGTAATCCCAGCACTTTGAGAGGCTGAGGAGAGGACTGCCTGAGCCCACGGGTTCAAGACCAGCCCTGACAACTTGGCAAGACCTCATGTCTACAACAAATCAAAAAATTAACTGGGCATGGTGGGGAAGGCTGAGGCAGAAGGATCACCTGAGCCCAGCAGATAGAGGCTGCAGTGGCCATGAATATGCCACTGCACTTTAGCATAGGCGACAAAGTGAGACTCCAACTAAAAAATACATATATATAAAATAAAATAATAAAAAACTTTTACCATTAACTATAGTTGTTGGGTTTTTCCAAATTGCCCCCAATATTCTTACAGGTAAGAATATAACCTTAGCCGGGCTCAGTGGCTCAGCCTGTAATCCCGCGCCTTTGGGAGGCTGAGGTGAGTGGATTGCCTGAGCCCGCGGGTTCGAGACCCGCCTGGGCAGCGAGACCTCATCTCTACAATAAATCAAAAAATCAGCCGGGCGTGGTAGCGCATGCCTGAAATTCCAGCTACTTGGAAGGCGGAGGCGGAAGGATCGCCGGAGCCCAGCAGGTCGAGGCTGCGGTGGGCGAAAGCGGCCACTGCACTCCAGTCTGGGCGACAGAGTGAGACCCCAACTCAAAAAAACAAACAAACAAACAAAAACCAAAAACAGAATATAACCTTAAACTTTAAAAACAAGTGACTTTAACTTTAACCCAAACCATCCAGATTTTTGGACAAAGAGATTTGACAGAAGATCTGAGTGTTTCCGTGCCAGGCATTGTTTTAGGTGCTGGGAAATAACAATGAACAAAACAGTTTCTGACCTCATGGAGCTTATATTTTAGTGAGGAAAGGACAGATTACATAATAAATGCTATGGAGAAAGAGTTGGGTAAGAATAGGAAATGACAAAAACTTGAAAGGGATTGCCATTTTATGTGACATTTCATAACCCTATGAAAAAAGTGAGGGGTATGCAAAATGGAATGGGGGGGCGGGGACACTGTTCCACCAAGGACAAAGACCTGATAAAACTGGGAAAGAGGGGGAAAGAGGTAAAGTGAAAGAGCTATGAGAGAAGACTAAGGTAGCAAGGGTGTAAGTGGGAAGGAAGACGAGTTAAAACTTGGAATAATCCAAGTGGCAATTTACTACTGTAGTAGAGATGGTGACTGAAAGTTGCTTAGAGTTGACTATAGGATTTTTTTGGTTTAAGCAACATAGAAACACATTTACGTTGAAACTACAGACAGTGTTTAAGAATAAGAGACTGGCATTAAGAGGAATGTCAGTTCCTTTTGGGCTTGAGTTCTAGAACAGCCTGGGCAACAGAGCAAGATCCTGTCTCTGTCTTAAAAATTCCTTTTAGGACCCAATCAAGCACTTATAATGATAAAAAGCTTTACTAAAAACATTACTTTCTGCCTTTTGTGCTAAGTTTGTATGTCATCTTGACTGGCCACAGGATGTCAGAATGTGGTTGAACATTATCTTTAAGTATCTCAAAGAGATTAGTAATAGATTAAAGCAGATTGCTCTCTCCAATGTGAGTGGGCATCATCTAATCAGTGAAGGGCCCAAATACAAGGAAAATAAAAAGGCAGAGGAGGATTGGAATTCTCTGCCTGGTTGAGCTGAGACATAACTGGTGTTCCTGGTGACTGGAAGACTTTTTTAGTTATGATTGAGACGGGGCAAGAACCAAAAATGCTAAAGTATCTTCCAATATATCACAAAACAATCCTTCATAATGAAGAACTACTACACATCCCACAATACTCCCATAAAATGTTCACGTGGCTAAAAACTTCAACAATACTCCCATAAAATCTTCACGGGGCTAAAATCCTTCAGAGTTTATTTCTTACATGAATCCCAAAAATCTTATACACAGGTGCTAACACCAAAATTTCCCGGAATGTTATAGTCTGAATCACTTCCTTCACACTAGAACGTTAAATTTCTAAGATTGACTTTTGCAAATACATGAGTCATTTCTACATATTACAAAAGGAGCCATTACATCTGATGTTCTAAGCCCATCTTGATAACAGACTCCTTTAAGCGTGGCATATGACAGTAATCCACGAAACATGAAAAGTCTGTTGGGAGACTCTGGAAATAATTCTTCACGTTTAATGAGATACAAGATGTAGTCACCTTTCTAAGTTGTCAGTATGTAGTACTTAGAACTACATCAGAGAATATGGGACAAGTCAATACTCTGTGGATATAAGAGCAGAAATAGGGAAAGAATCTGGGTTCCTGTTATTTTTGAACCACTGAAATCTTATCTTGGGACTTTTTTCTAAACGTTAGTTTCTTTAATGTAAGCCAATTCCAGTTGGATTTTGCTATGTGGAGTTGACAGCAACCTACAAATAACTACCCTGGTTTTCATGCTAAGATGGGTCTTAGAAAATAAAAGCCCTCATAATCAGAATGCCTGTGCTGATACTGCTTATTATTTCATCATACCAGCCCTTTCAAATCTTGAATTTGTTTGCCTTTTCTAGCTTGCATTAGAAAATCCTGTATTTCCCTCTTTGGAAGATATGGGAGGTATAAATCATGTTATATTCCTGAGCTAAATCTCAGGGCCTCGCCCCTTATAAACAAGAGATAAAGATGCTTTTCATATTTATTTTTTTAAAAAATCCAGAATGGATAAAAATAACAATCAAGGACCTAGGTGTCAAACATAGGGCAGAAGGTAGCTAGAAAAGTGTGTCTTAAGAAAGTTAGGGACCCTAGCCAGCCTCATTACTATCTTGTTTTAATAGCTGTACCTAACATAAATAGCTGAGTTTCCCATTCTTCTTCTGCCCCATTTATAAACATAGCACAGCTAGCTTGCCTTGCAAGGCCTCGGGTGAAGGACCCCATTTACACACAGGTCAATATAGCAGTACTTGGCTAACTAGAAGGATTTCATACCCATGTGGTCTCACTCCAAGTCTACAGCTGACTACCTTCATTGTGTGTGAGACTGTTTCACACCATGAAAATATGGCCACTTTAGCACAAAACAATGTTAAATCTTTATAATGATCAATAACTCATCCTACCCCCCTGGACATGCAGCTGAAAAAGTATGACAGGCTAGGGACATAGGACACTGTGAACTTTTGTACTGTTGGAATTATTGCCCATTAAATGATCATTAGCTAATGGCCACTAAATTTACAAATCAAGGAAATTATATATAGAATACTGCAAAAACACAGTAAAGACTGAAGTTTGCCCATTTCTGCTCAGGAAGTCCCTTCACTCCCAAGCTTCATATGTTGTCCTTTCAGCTCCAAAATTTACTGCTACTATTACTGTTTCTCTTCCTTTTGATCTTCCTTTTGTTCCCCAGCGCCAGAACTTCCAGAGCCTTCTCGCTCAGACGCCATCTGTTAAGAAAGTATTTGAGAGTCACTCAGATTTAACGTTAGGGCTAACCATTTGCTCTTTGCTGAACCACATATTCCTCATCCTTCATCTCTATTCCACTCTCCCTCCTCCCCAGTACCCTACTGGTGGTTTTCTGTGATTCCTTCCCTTTAACCCTATCCCCACTTCCAAAGTATAGTCAAGAAGGCAGGAGGGTATCTCCAATTCGAACACTCTCAATTCTATTAAATGGTCATGAAAGGGCCACCAGTGACAATAATCAACAACAGTTCCATTAAGATCAAGTCAGAATCAAAACACCCTTCACCTTTTTGTATGCCATTTCGAAGAGCTTCAGTGATGCCTGCTGAAGGGAGGATGCTGCCTGCCTGATGTTTTCTCCTGTTTCACTGTCTTTTCTAGCCAACAGCTCCCTCATTTTGGAAATCTCTTCTTTTAGCTTGTTGCACTTAAAAAGAAAACAAAAATCCTCACTTTTCCAGGTTTCCTGTACCATTCATTACATGTAGAAGTACTATTTAGAAACAAAGAAAATTAACCTCTATCAAGACGCACAAAAAAAGGAACTTCTTTGACACTGATGACAATGTATCTAACCTCTAATTATTTTAAAACAGAACTTACCTCATCAGCAGGCAATTGGTCCTTGAATTCTTCCATCTTGGTTTCTGTATCATGAATGATTCCTTCAGCCATATTAACTGCTTCAACTCGTTCCTTTGAGAAGTTTGAAGTTTAATATAAATGAAAATTTTCCAATTATCCAAAGTTTGCTGAATGTTCACATTAAACAAAACAATAATCTATCTGCTGTATACTTTTACAGTAAAAACAGTAAGCGGAAGAAATCAATGCGGTCCGAGCCAGAGCTCTGAACTAAGTTTTGTAATCGAATTTGGTGGCTTATACTTTAATCCCTACACTTACTGAGGCTGGGGGCATGGGGGGTAACAAGCGGCTTGGAGCCAAGAGTTCAAGATCAGTCTGGGTAATGTAGCAAGATCCTGTCTCTTTTAAACAAGAAAAAAGAATTTTGACAGGGAAAACTGAGAGTGTGGCATTGCACATAAACACTTAAGTTATGAACAAGGTGGAAGATAGACTGATCTTCTAATTTTCTCTTATCCATCCCCGATCTATGACATGTACAAACTCCCACTTTCATGGCCCAGCTTTACTAAGATTAAGAAGCTCAGAAGAAAGACAAAAAAAAGTAATCACCTTCTTTCGGCGGTCTTCCTCAGCATACTTCTCTGCGTTTTTAACCATATTTTCAATATCGTCTTTGCTTAACCCACCAGAAGACTGGATTACGACTATAGTAAAAGGAAGGCAACTCATTACTTCCCAAGTAAAATTATATGCCTCTTCTTCCTTTATCACATGAAGAAGTGTATACCTGGCTGGGTGTGGTTCACATCTATAATCCTAGCACTTTGGGAGGCTGAGATAGGCGCAACAGTGCTTGAGCCCAGAACCTTAAGATAAGTCTGGGCAACATAGCTAGACCCTGTCTCTACAAAAAACTTATTTAAAAAACAAACCAAACCTGATAACCGAGAAGAAAAGGGGCAACAAGGATTCATCACCCTCCCCATGAAGCTCAGTGGGAAAAGATATGTACAACAAGAGGGTCTATTTCCCAACAGAGCACCCTCAACTCACTCTTACAGTCTGGTAAGCAAGGGGACTTACTCTGCTGCTCACGTCCTGTGCCCTTATCTTTGGCAGAAACATGTACAATCCCATTGGCATCAATGTCAAATGTAACTTCAATCTGAGGGACTCCACGAGGAGCTGGAGGAATTCCAATCTAAAATAAGTAAATACACAGAGTAAGCTCCTCTTACAGAGGGGTTCAGTGCTATTATTTCTTCATCTATATGGTCTTCTGATAAACAAGTCATTTGGTCCCTGAGAAGAAACAAGTGATACCTTCTTCACTTAATGTACAGAAACACAAGTTTACAAGTGAGTGTAGCAGTCTGCTGCCTGAAAACAACAGGTCTTATACCAGTGAAGGTTAAACAGCAAGTAACTATAATGGCTGTATGTACGCAGGGGCACAATGAATGACAGAAACCCTCCCCAATACTGCTCATCTCACCAAGAACCAATAAGCAGTGCTAATCAGAAGCCACTAACAATATACAACTGTCTTTTTATGGGTTACAATATCGTCTAGCTTTACAGTAAAAGGCTAAGGAGCTCAATATTCAGGATTCACAACACCTACCAGAGTAAACTGTCCAAGAAGTTTGTTGTCTCCAGCCATCTCTCTCTCACCCTGACACACTTTAATCTCTACTTGGGTCTGCCCATCAGCAGCAGTAGAAAACACCTAGGAAAGAAAAACTTCCTGGGTTAGCAATTTGATTAAACTATTCCCCTTAAACAGTCAGAATTCAAGCCAGAGAAATAAATTCACATCCCAACATCCAAAAGGTCCTAGTTTACACTATGTTCAGAACAAAGGCCTATGTCTTTTACAGGAAAGAGGAGTAGGATTAGTACAGCAAAAGGGCACACAATAGCTATTGTTTCAACTAAGCAAATGCATTGTACAAAGATGCAGCATTAGCACAGGAGGCCTCGAGAAGGAGCTAAAGTGTTCAAACGTGCTCCTCTGGGAAAAGAGGAATCAAGAGACGAGATGTTATCATGTGCTCAGTAAAAGAAGTCACCACATACTTTTCTTCAGAATGATGTGTTGACAGATACATCACTGCACAAATACAGCAACAGTCATTAGTTTTTCGGAGAAATATCAAGATTGGGAAAGTCCTGAAATAATTCTTTTTTTTTTTGAGTCAGAGTCTCTTTCCCCCAGGCTGGAATGCAGTGGCACGTTCACACATACTGCAGCTTCAACGTGCTAGGCTCGGGTGATCCTTCTGCCTCACCTTCCAAGCAGCACACACAATTTTTTGATTTATTGTAGAGGTGAGGTATTGCCAAATTGCTCAGGCTGGTCTCAGACAACACTCTCACCTCTGCCTCCCAAAATGCTGGGATTACAGGTGTGAGCCTGGCAGGAAATAACTCTTAATCCAAGACCAAGCCATGTACAAATAGCTCTAATAGGTATCTGAGCACCCCATCCCTTCAAATGTTTATCTACAAGACAAGCACACACACTCCCCTAAGTCTTGGCTAGACTATTCTTGCTGTCTTTGAAAAGGGAAGACTACAGAGAATTTAGTTCCAAGCAACTGAAGCTCCTTTTAGCAAATTATGTTAATTTCTACAATTACTAATTGGAATGTAAGAACTTTTGAGTAAAAAAAAAAAAAGCAAGATTCTCACCCCACAGTCAATAAGTTTGAAGTGCAAAACAAACAGTAAAGTTTTTTAGAAGAAACTTACAAAAGTGGCTGTAATCACATCCCTCAGAGAACCTAATATTGATGTGACAAGATAGTGATAGCTCTTACCTGGCTCTTCTTGGTTGGGATAGTGGTATTCCTGTTAATAAGTTTGGTAAAGACACCTCCTAGAGTTTCAATACCCAGAGACAGGGGAGTGACATCCAGAAGCAGCACATCTGTAACATCACCGGCCAACACACCCCCCTGAATGGCAGCTCCAATGGCCACAGCCTCATCTGGATTGACGGCTTTACTTGGGGCTCGGCCAAAAAGATCCTGCACAGTCTGCTGAACCTGAGCATCAAGGAGAAATATCTGTCATCCAAAACTCAAGGAAACGGCCGGAGAACAGAAGAGAGCACATGTGTGACCTAAGCTCCCAGCCAAATCTTAAAACGGGTTTGATTCAAATCACTATTTCATAGTTGAATTGCTAATAATCTCATAAAACTCATACACTTTATACTCAAGAAGTATCTCATTTAATACTCTTACATCTGGAAAGAATTCTTTCAAGTTTTATTATCCATTTTCCCACACAACACGTCAAATCATTTGAAACAGAGGGTGCAAAGCAAGGGGACTTAGAAATTGTATAGTCCAAGTTCTCTTTTACATTATCAAACTAAACAAATTAGAAGGACACTGGAGTAGCAATTCAATATTGTGCTAATGTGGGGCATGATCTTCCTTCTGTTTATTATATTAAGGGTAAAAAAAAAATGTATTTGAATAGTATCTTGGATCATTTTTTAACAAAAATGATCATTGTTTAACAAAAAGGTATCCTCCTGTCCCACAGACTCTTTTTTTCCCCCAGTTTTTTTGGGTGCATATTTTTCTAAGCCCATATATTTCAACAGAAAAATTAACAACAAGGTCACTAATTCAGGCCCAAGAAAATTCTATTCAGGCTACCAAGGAAGAACTGCATCTTCAGCAGATCTGTGCTCAGTCATGAGTTTCCACACGTTCTCTCAGAATGATGTGTTTGTGAATAAAATGCATCATTGCACAAATCTTTGAAGTGATGCACTATGTTGCAGGAGAGCTAGTTAGTAACGAAGTTTGTTGTTGTTGTTGTTTTTCTAGTTGAGGTATCACTCTGTCACCCAGGCTGGAGTGCAGTGGCACAATCATGATTCATCTCAGCCTAAAACTCCTGGGTTCAAGAGACTCTCCTGCCTCAGTCTCCCAAGTAGCTGGGATGACAGGTGTACATCACCACACCCAATTTTTTGATTGTTGTAGATAGGAGGTCTTGATATGTTGCCCAAGCTGGTCTTGAATGCCTGGGTTCAAGCAATCCTCCTGCCTCAGCCTCCCAAAGAATTGGGATTACAGGCGTGAGCCACCACACCCACCCAGTACTAAGGTTTTAAGCTATCTCAAAACTTTATTTCTAGCTGGGCTCGTGGCTCAGCCTGTAATCCCGTGCTTTGGGAGGCGGAGGTGAGTGGAATGCCTGAGCCCGCGGGTTTGAGACCTGCCTAGGCAACTTGGAAAGACTTCATCTCTACAATAAATCAAAAATTAGCCGGGCATGGTAGCGCACGCCTGTAATTCCAGCTACTTGGAAGGCTGAGGCGGAAGGATCACCGGAGCCCAGAAGGTCGAGGCTGCGGTGGCCGGGGACGGCCACTGCACTCCAGTCTGGGTGACTGAGTGAGACTCCAACTCAAAAAAAAACACACACACACACAAAAAAACACTTTTGTTTCTGTCCTCCTAAAAATTCTTAGTCCTAAAAACTCTATGACTGAGTTCAAGATTCTCTCTACTACTGTCCCCCATACATTCTGCTCTTAACTGTTTTTCTTACAGTCTTTGATTAAAAAAAAAAAAAAAAAAAAGACTAAAAAAAAAAAAAAACTGTGAGGACATAATCTCAACACCCTTTAATGTCAACTCAGCAGACTGGAGCATGTATTAATGTCCATACCCAACACAAGTCACTTGTCCCAAGAATACATTACGTGTCTGCCTTTTCTTCTTAGACAATTCTATGGGTCCATACCTTGGGCATCCTAGTCATGCCACCCACAAGAATCACTTCTCCTATGTCACTCTTGCTGACTTCTGCATCTTGCATAGCTTTCTGGCATGGAGCAATGGTTCTCCTGATTAGATCAGAGACGATCCCTTCAAACTGAGCACGAGTCAATTTCATATTCAAATGCTTGGGTCCAGAAGCATCCATTGTAAGATATGGTAAGTTGATGTCGGTCTGCAAAACAAATTTATTATTTCAACTAAAATATGAGCATATTCCAAGACAGGAGACTTAGAAAAACACAAGGGTCAGACCTACTTTGAATGAACAACCTCCAAAAACAGTCACTCTTTAAGATGTCAACCTCAGGCTGGACACGGTGGCTCATGCCTGTAATCCCAGCCCTTTGGGAGGCCAAGGTGAGAGGATTGCCTGAGCCCATGGGGTCGAGACCAGCCTCTACAATATTGGTGAGACCTCATCACTACAATAAACCTAAGTTAGCCAGGCATGGTGGCACGTGCCTGTAGTTCCAGCTACTTGGAAGGCTAAGGCAGAAGGATCACCTTAGCCCAGCAGATCGAGGCTGTGGTGGCCGTAAGTATGCCACTGCACTCCAGCCTGGGCGACAGAGTGAGAGACTCCAACTCAAAACAAAACAAAACCAAACCAAACCCAAAACCAAAAACTTATTTCCCCAGAGACACTATAGAATCTACTTTAATGAGAATGAGGTCTGTGAAGAATGCAGTAGACAAGCAGGAAAAAAAAACCGTGTTGAGAAGATAAAAGAAATATTCTGCCACTAAAAAGTCATTAAGAATCACACTACTTGGCTGGGCTGGGTGGCTCAGTCTGTAATCCCAGCACTTTGGGAGGCTGAGGTGAGTAGACTGCCTGAGTCTACAGGTTTGAGACCAGCCCAGGCAACTTGGTGAGACCTCATCTCTATAATAAAAAAAATTAAAAATTACCCAGGCGTAGTAGCAGCTACTTGGACAGCTGAGGCGGAAGGACTGCCAAAGCCCAGCAGGTCAGCACTGGGATGGCTGTGAATGTGTCACTGCGCTCCAGCCTGGGCAACGGACTCCAACTCAAAAAAAAAAAAAGAATCACACTACCACTAATGTTTTCTTTCACATTTTAAAAATATCTCAGCCGGGCTCGGTAGCTCAGCCTGTAGTCCTGCGCCTTTGGGAGACTGAGGTGAGTGGATTGCCTGAGCCTGCGGGTTCGAGACCCGCCTGGGCA